GAATTAAAGTTAGCGGTGGTGTTTATATAACCAGGAGCAGAAGGACAAAATTTAACCTAAGGTACTCTCAAAGGAGAATAAGATCTTTAGTACTGTTTATAGTGAGATTATGATTTTGCGCTAATCAAAAAGGAAGTTTCAGATCGTAGAAGAGATCACTCTCATTTTTCTTGCTGTTTACTATTCGTGTTAAATCTTTCTTCTGTTAGTATTAAATCTGGTAAACACGGGCGTTGAAACTTTTTTATGACCACGTTAAAGTTATTTTCAGACAGGCGTTGACAAGTCTGCAATTATTAGAAATATAAGTTGTTCTTTTTAGTAGATTTTTTCAAAATAAGCCAACATGCAATGTCATTCTCTCCTACGGACCGCTATGTGAAAATCATCCGTTTTGAGGTAGTCGGGCTCCCAAAAGCTTTGTACAGCGCTGGTACATGCACGCCCATTGATACACTACTATCGTCCCCACTTTTGCTGAGAAGCGGAACTCATTTGAAATTGGATAAAAATGGAACGACCTTTGAGTTTCTTAAACTCTAAAGAAACCCTCCCCACTGGCAAAGAAGTATAGATAACCGCCATTGGCCGTCTTGGTTCAAATGGGTTGTGGCGACAGCTCAGTTAATGACCCTTATAAACTTAATGGCGAAGTCCAAGTCGTATTGGATCGAGGGGGACATGCTCTGTAGAAAGCGCGCTATTCTGTTAGCCACGGTCAGACGTCAAGCGCGTACAAGTTCTAAGTGACACGAACTTTCAGGAATCACATCTTCGACGTACATTTTTCATTTATGTTAATTACATTGAAGCTAACTTGACACTGGGTTCGTGATTGTGAACACTAACAATTTTTTTACGCAAGCAATCGTAAAAAGAAGCATCGGCAAGAGTTCCCAGGGCAAACTTTGATCGGGGAAGGATCGGGAAGGAATATTGCCCTTCGTCAACAAACGAAATATATCCTCCCGTACGTTGATGCAGATGGATGGCGATATGATGTATGGCGGTGACTCTTAACTTATGTCTGATACTTAACACAGAGTAATATAGATTTGTTCATTTATACATTAAACTAAACGTATAATAAGCTAAACTAATCGTCTAAAAGTTAACTGGCCATATGTAAGTTAAGGTTATGTCTAATTGTTGTTGAAGGTGCGTCCAGAATATCCTACAGCGATCTTGTTACTTACTTGCCAACAAGGAAAAACCATTTGCGCAACAGAATCTAGAACATCAATCTAGACATTCATAGTTATTTTATCGCCTGTAAGATAGATTCTACTGAATGCGATTTCCTCACATAAACGAACCGGCATCACGCTCGACAGAAGCGCCAGTGTTCATCAAATAGGTTTCATACCGCTCAGCATAATGGTACAGGTATCAATTAAGCTAGTACGTCGAGATAATCTGTTTCATCGTTGTCAGTGCTACGATGACTTCTCAGAAGATAAAAATATCTTCATTTGCCAATTCAGACTTGGCTAATGTAAGAAGATTATTTGTTTTGCCGTGAATAGAAGATGTTAGAAAAATCTGATAACAGGACTACCAAAGATCTTCATGGGGTTGACAATGCACTATTCAGCCCTTGCCGAATCAGAATAAGGGGCTGGTGTTCTAGCTAGCTAGCTTTTGAAACGATAAACTAACTCTAATCATACAGAACGGGTATCGTTCATTTAGTACGGACAAATCCGGACATGACTTTCCGGACATATTGAAATAACCACTGCGCGCAGTGTCGATCTTTAGAATTTCATATAAGACATAAGCTAGTTAATATTAATTCAGAATGGAAATTTAATTTTTTTTTATTGAGGTTGATTCATCCTTTTGTACATAATCCCTATTCTGTGCTTAGACATTTTGCGGCGTTCTTCCAAAACAGATATACCCGACAAATCAATTGGTTTGTTTGAAGATGATTGTCACTGTACTAAAAGCTTAAAAACAGCTAGAAGTCAAATCGGGAATCGATCTAAAAAACTACTTCTAAGCCTCAGCCAACGTTCGGCCTGGAGTGCCTTATAACTTCCGTTTCTCAACACTCTCTTACTAGAGGAGACAAATGTGGCAGACACTTAGACAACCGAAATTCCGCATCATTGGTATTTTTGCCATCGTTAACAACTAGCTTATGACACGCTACATTGCGTTTATTGAATTGTGCTTTTAGTTTCTCCAGCTCATTGCGATTTTTTCCAGTTACCAGCTTCAGATTATCTAGAGCAATTGGACGGTATTTGCCAATACGTTCGTCAACGAAGCTAACAAAAAATACATTTTAAAGGGGTTGAATTGTTACTTTATATAGCTTTTGTCTTGAAGTGAATAGAACACCATAGCCGATTTACGACAAGCTCGCTTATTGCAATATGGCTAAACGTAGTTCTGCCGGTTGTATTGAAACGCCGGTCGTTTTCTCTATCTTGCATGTTTGTATTAGCTAGTTTTTTAATTATACTAAATACACTAGAGTTTTGCTGCTATTTATCGCAGAAAGAAGTACTACACCTTCAGCTTCATAATCGTATTTATGAAATCACACAGACACGAAACGAGTTTCATAACAAACAATGGATGCGCGTCCGAGATCCGAGTCGTGAGCATGACGCCGCCACCTACCACTATGATGTTCCTTTTAGAAATTATTTAATATGAATATGAATTCATATAAATAGTACTTTTCATTCGCTTTCTTGCCCTTTTCACTACTTTTTCGTTTCGACAAGCCACTTTTTTACATACTCAGGGAGACGGATCGACTCTCTATAGCGACTCCTCGGTACACTGCTAAATGGATTGTCCATGATCTCCCGATGGCAGAATTCGGCTCTGTACATTTCTCCACACGTTGCTCCGACAAATAAAGCACTGCATATCATGCTAAAGCATGGCTGGACGTCAACTGACGCCAGAGCTTGTCCACTGCCAGATTCGTTGCGCCATCACCGTTGTGTGTTTTTGTTGATACCTACAATAGAGGGAAACGGAGCTGTACAAGGTTGTGCGCCGATTAACGAGTCCTTCCTCCGCTGCTGAGCGGTGCGAAAGGGCGGCGTAGGATGATAGGGCCTACCTACGGCCTTTCCCATTGCCGCGAAGAGTTTTTAACTATTGGTATCGCTGTCCTTACGCAAGGTTTCGCTAACAGTACTAAAATATACGACATATATTATATATATATTAATATAAAATCAATGGATGTTTTCCGGTGCTGCTGCCTTAGCAAAACATCGCTTAAGACGGCTGGCGTCTAGTTCCGTCACGAAAGGAAGTCTGTGCCTAATTTTAAATTTGGTATCCCGAATTCTAGTAAGCAAACATATTACTGCACCATCACAGGAAAAGCTGTAGTAATCTATCACACTGTGTATTTACACGCCCTGTAAATTGAAGCTATAAGATGGATGGAGTAGGGGTAGTTTCAAGAAGAAGTCTAGACAGAATAAATACACGGAGCAGGTAACATTTGTTTAAGGCTTCACAAAGGGATGCTGATGGTATGACAAGTAGGCTTTAGACGACAGTAACGCGCCGCTGAATGGCGTTTACACTTGTGAAGTCTCACAGGTATGGGCGCCCGATTAAGTCGTCTAACGATATATGCACCAAGGCATAGGTTTCAGTATTTTCAGCTGCAGCGACAACAGTAAACCCCGCCTCGTTTCGACAGTGCGGCAGTTGACGCCCCTTGACCACACCAACAATGGGGATCAGCGAGAACACAGTTACAATTTTCAAGAATACGGTTTTGGTTCTAGATAAGTGGCAAATGCGGTTAAGGTACTGGCAGGCAAAGCTATGCAAGTCAAAGCACACGTGTGTCCCTCACAAACCTTATCAGTACTCCCAGTAATATACGCGTTTCTCGTAGAAGGGGAGGAAAAATAACAATGTTGGCGCTGTTATTCGAAGCTAATTTAACTAGAGGGAAGCTTGTATAACTATTGCTGGTATGCATGCAATTTCAGCCGGCGAAGAAGAACAGATTGCCTTGTGCGGTCAGTTTAACATAGGGAAGAAAGGAGCACCCCTGAAATAAAGAACGAGCCCAGGTGAGTTGGCGAACTCGAGTGGAAATAGAACAAGCGAGGGGGAGAGAAGGAAAGACAGTCTGTCTAAGGCCTAGTGACAGGAACTAAGAGAACAACTTAGACGCTTCTTCAGGTCGCTCAAGCGGACAGACCTTTGTCGAACGTAGGGTTTGACAGGGTCTGTAGCGGCCAGCAGGCGACTGGCAAAGTCGAAAACCCGAACACGTAGACCGCCTGCGTATATCTCTGTTTAGGCATGCGTCCGTGTGTCGGTCTGTCTGTTGGGAAGTATGGTGGCAGCAAGCGCTCAAAGTAGCGTGAAGCAAGCCTACTTTGTGCTCTGTTTTCTACTTCGTTCGCACAACTGCTACCCTTAACCCTATACTGTATAAAACCTGCTCACTTGTCGTTTCTTTTTATCGTCCTTGTCGACAACGAACACGATTATCCGTCTTTAGTACCGCCGTCGTCAGCTAGGTCTCCTCTGTCGTCGAAAGTCTTGCAGAACAGAGGGAAGGCGGTCTCCACACTTGCTTTCCTGCTCTAGCTTGTGTGAGGCGCTTCTGCCTCTCTCCTTCTCCCCCAGAGGCGGTAACGACAACTCCTGGGGTTGGTGAGGCTCGTCCTACTGATTCTACTAGTAACTATGTTCGTTGGTCTGAGAATATTGTCACTACCAACCATCATCTCATTGTGGTATGTGTCTACCTGTTGTTGAGTGGATTCGCGTTGATACGAGTTTAGGTGTCAGAAAGTGAGGGGTGTGGGGAGCCGACGATCGATGCAGCCTGAAGGTGGCCAAATCTCACCACTAACATAACCAAGGTGGTGGTTGCAGTGGGACTCGTGGGTAGTTTCGAAATGCGTTTATTCACTCGATCCATTCGTATGTCTTGCCGCTACCACGAGCAGCAGTTGCTGGAGCGGCGACAGCATCGCTGTTGAGTTGTGTTGGCAGGAAGCTGCCCGCTGATCACGCTGGTAACAGCTAACCACTGGCTTAGTCAAACCCGTTAAAGCTTAGCGTCATCGTTACGTGCAACCGACTTGCCTGATTTCTTCTTGATTCCCTCCAAACTAGCTAACTCGCTTGCGGTCGCGTGTTCCCTAGCCGCCTTTAGTTGGCAGACGTGAACGTCCGCTCCGACCGCTGCCTTTGCTGGCTCCGCGTTCTGTCCACTCCGTAGCAGCTGTAACAGAGGTGCAGCCGTGGCGCCGTAACGCAGCTTGCCGCCGTTGCCGTGGTGGTATTTGACGTAGGGTCCGAGGTCCGTGTGCTTGCTTATGCTCCTGCGTGGCTCTGGCTGATGGTGTCGAATCGAGCCGTGTTGTTCGCGAGTGGCGGAGTGGTCTGCTCACCGAGCGAGAAGCGAGCTCCCTCTGTGCGCCGTCTCGCCGCTGTGGGGAGCTTCTTACAAAGTGGTGCCTCGGTGTGAAGTGGTGTTCCGTTTGTTGTACATTACTTTGCTCGGGTTCAACTGCTTCGTTGGTTGATTAGATTTTGCCAGCAAACGAAAGGTTTTCCGGCAAAAGAGCTCTGGGTTTTTCGCAGGGGTTATGTGTGAATTTTTCCCGCTGCTGTTGGAAGTTAACGCGTGTGTTTTTTGTGTATTATCGATGGTTCGCTTTCCATTGGTGGGAACGAATCTAGTAAGAAGAAGAGAAAAATACGCACCCTTATAGTACTAGTAGGAATGCTGGGCGTTATCGATGGAGGACGATTTCGGCGTAATGCTACCGGCCGAAGTGTTTTCCCATGTTCGTAGGTCATATTCACTTTGTCGAGTGTGTTCTGTGTACGTTTAGCATTTCGTGAGTAGTACCATTCGTCAAGCTAGTATAGGCTGATGAAGAATCCTCGGTGAGCAGAAACGAGAGGGTGTAAATCCGCACGGCATTCTTATGCACAACAGCCAACAACTGCGAATGTTTGTAGATGAATGAGTGGGACTCTTTCTTGAGTGTTACGTCTATGGAGTCAACGATGTTTGGCAAATTCGATGCCAGGAACGGTTACAAGTGAAGCAGCGGACTGATCAGCTAAAACATGCGCCCAAATAAATAACAATTAATAAGCGACTAGACAACGTTACAGCTAGAAATTCATACACAGGCAAACAGATCGATCGACAGAAATAATAAGAGAAAAATTTCAAAAAGAAATGCTGAAAACACAGAACTGCTAGTGATTGCATTGTTCTTGGTTCTACCATATTGTCGCTCTACCGTGACCGACAAACTATTGTTTTTTGGCAGTTTCATAGTTGATATCGGAGTTTAGTTAAATTCCACTAGTCTTCATCGATGTTTCAGTAGAGAAAACGGAGTTAACATCAGCAGAACAGGAGCAGTGTCATCAGGGGCAGAAAACATGGGGTTGTCGCCACCCCATTGTCCATGTTGGCTGAGGCATACAGGACAGTCGATAGAGTCCTCATCATTGTTGGTGACCACAACTTGGAACGTAACTATTGGAGCCGTAACTGACAACATCCAATAGGCCTTACACCAATAGTGATACTGTTTAAGACACGCGGTTGACACGGCGCCAGATGAGATAATTCGCGCCGGCCATTCCGTGGCACGATTCAATGTCGAAAAAAAGAGCAGAGTTCGCGTGTCATTCGCTGAACAGCTGAGGAAAAGATTTCGGCTGAGAAAGTGCTGTGTAAATGCAGGCCTTTGGTGCTTAGTGCAGGAAACGTGTCTATACAGGGGAGTAACACAATCTCAAACAAAAATCGACCAAGCAAGAACATCAGATAAACACGAACGTTCAAAACGGACTTGATCTCAACGCAGAGCCAAACAGCGCGGAACAGGCTGGTGACGCACTGTCTTCGCTACCTGTTAGGTTAACTGTTACAGTAACAGAAAACAGCATAGCTGCTCTATCCTACAAGAGAGAGTTGTTCTTTTTGATTATTTTGTGGACCAAGTGTCGCCTGTTAAAAAGACCTAAGACCAAGACAAAACCTGGTATTGCTTCACTAAGCTGCGAGTTTGTGTGGAGAAACCCGCTACTCGCGAACTCCAGTTGTCCAAATCTTCGCAATTCGTTGGACGGCGTCGATAGGCCACGTGACAACAGCCAGTAACAGGCCCGCACCAAACGCTTCGAACCCACTTTGACGGACCCCGTCTATACCACGGTGAGTAATGCTATTTTAACACGAGCCGAAGGGAGTCTAATACAAGTAGATTTCTGTGCACTTGAATGCCGAATAGATTAGTCTTTCAGCGGTTGCTATCATACCGTGGGTCTCGCAGGCTGAGGCGTTAGAGATTTGAAGCCGAAGCAAGGACCCTGTTTTTAGGAAGTAGCTTTGCACGACCTACGTACAACAGAGATAATGTAAAGTGGACGCAAAGAATATGTTAATATGCTACTTCGGGCGGCTAGATTGAATAAAGCCGTAATTTATATCAATTTTTTCATAGGTTTTAAGTCTCTGACTTATTCAGATATGTGTATGTGCAGCTTTTTGTAAACGTCCTTTACCACTCCGTCGTGGCGTACACGAGGCAGATACTCATTTTCGTTGACGCTCCAGTCATCGGAGTTAGAGGAATAAAAAGCGCGACTCAAATTAGGTCAGCTCGTAAACCTTGTAAATTTAATGGGACCTATGTTGATTGAACCTGTCTGCACGTCTCAGTGTCTTCCACTATAGGACCAATATTGGAATTGCTGCATGCGGTCCCGGTATTTGTCAAGACAATCCAATTTAGTATTTTTTATCGGTTTTTCAGCTCCGTTACAGTAACACTTTGTAGCGGTACCGAGCAGATGTGGTATTATCGTATAAACGTGCACTCACAGCCGTGCGACAGTGCCAGTATACGTAAACACTAAGGGCAACATTGCATAGCCTAGAGTTAAAAGTGCGCAAGTCGAAAAAAAAGGTAACTTCATTCTTCATGAAGCTCAATTTGTTGTTTCAATAACACAGGTTAGTTTTTTATATGTAGAATTATGTGACGTCCATTTTGTCAGGACACTCCGAGCACCGAGATTCTGAGCTACCTAGATCCACGTGAAAGAATAAGAACGATGCCAAAAACGTCATTCGCCTCCCCGTGCATGTCACGAAGCGAACGGGTCATTTTGACGGTCGGTACACGCTCAACGTTGCCGCCGCACCTTACTTACAATATAGTCTTGGGTACCTATCGTTTTTACGGTAGTCCGAGGCTACAGTACCAGCATTCATTGAAGCGGCGAAAAATAAATTGACGCTTGAAAGTGCCGAATCCTACATTCGGGGAACCTAAATTAACAATCCAACATTATGCAACGTGCAATGGTACAATGGTTACACAGCATTAGCGCAAATTGTTAACGTTGTCGAGTATCTATTTTGGACGCGGTTATCTGTCACTTTTATAAATATAGAGACGTTGTTTTATAGTATTGATATCGAGTGTTAGTTACTGCTATTCAGTGCGTACGTACAATCAATTTTGAAATATATTTCTCTCTTATAAGGCATTAAGTTTTTATATTATAACGTAAGAGTACTATAATTAATAATAAAGGGTTAAGTAGAACTTTCTAAAAGAAATTTAACAACTTCAGCGGATTAAAAGTATTCGTATACACGATACACCTCGTACATTTAGCTACCATAAACCCGAGACGAAGACGCAAAAAGAATGACCATTTAGCTATTGATGACTCATTCCTTCGGTGTCAGGACCTAATTAAACCGGTCTTGGCTCATATACAGATTCCGTAGCTAGCAGACTCGTTGTAGTCCTATCGGTCTGCTGCCCGCTGTTGTCCTTCTTCCTGATGAGTATCGTGTGTAGTAAATCATCAGGTTAAAAATTGACCGCCGGGCAAACGAATTTCCGAATCATGAGCATTCGTTGTGCGAGAACTTGCACTACTCTATTCACTGAACGTCGCGTGCTCTTTGTTCGTTAACTTATTTGTAGAAAAACTCGCTGCCAGCGAGTCTTCCCTCTCGAAGAGATAATCATATGGATTCACAGCCGCCAGCGAGAGTAGGAGCGGTTTCAGCGAAAGGAATTTCAAGGTTATCCAGAAAAAGTTAGTGTTGAGTTCGGGAAGAGGTGTAAGTTCGGGTATGTGTGTCTGGGGTGAGGTTAAGTCATCATAGCCACCTCAGCTTCTAGTGTTTCAGCTAAAGGCTGCCTACTTAATTTGTTATGTAAATCTAAGAAGCCAGCTGTAGGAGGCGGGTGTGAGGTGCTCGCATATCCATGTGAGTGCACTTACTAACGCTTACTAGGCCCTGCAGGGAGACAATCCTCGAAGCCTGAAAGGCCATAGAAAACAGCAACGTCTTACGGCAATTGCGTTACCACGAGTAATTCGCTGTTGCCGCGCGACACTGAGATTGGTTTTAGGGGTAAATGTGTGCTAGCTGAGGTTAGGGGTCAATGTGAAATAGAAATAATAGACTTAGATAGATGGAAAGTATTAGCCGGCAGTGTCGATTTTCATTAAAGTTACAGGTTATGATACTGCGCACACAATTTGTAGGTCCGTATGTGCGTGTCTGTATGTAAGAGGGCTCTTTCGCACAGAATACCGAAAGCCCTAGCCTTGATGGTGTGACAAGAAGGAACTTGTCCGGTGGTTTCCGTTTTTAGTTATTGGAGCTAAACTGAGAAAAAGCTTTGCTTGGAAAATCCGCCGTGGCCAGCGAGCCGAAAAGAAACAAGGAGTGATATGGCAGGATGAGCCTGCCCTACTAGACGTTTGGTTTAGCAAAAAGTAGCTGCCATGGCTATCGTCGTGCACCATACACGCCGGTATGATATAGCATGGCCGTCTGCGATCTGGAGGGGCGTAGAGAGGTAGGGCACGAAGGATGTGGGCATCAAGAAAAAAAAGAACAACTGAAAAAAGAGAGAATCAGAAATATCTGTACAGTGGGATTCTACAGGAGGCCTGGCTTCGGCAGTGATTCGACTGCCGTCGACAGCTGAAGCCGAGATGCTAAAACCAGGTAAAGCAAAGCCGCGCAACGCAGCGAACAGGCGAGCGCAGAGAAAAACGGCCTTCGAAGGAAAGGCCAAGGGGAGACGGGGAACGTCGAGAACGGGGAAGAGAAGTCGAGTGAGATACATCAAAATGGAAGGAGAAAAGACTGACAGCAACGCCAGCGCGAGCAGGGTAACCAAACGAATAGCATAGCAGCACCACATTGTATATATATGTATAAAACTGCTAGTACAGGCAGAGCACATCACGGTATTGCCACCAAAGCGGCAACGAGGAACTGAAGGAGGATGCGAGACGCACAGAAATCTAGTCTAGTTATGACAATATTGGGATCGGTGAAGAGATGTTGGTGAACAACGCGGAACATCTTCACAAGTGCTAGCTCCTGCAATATTTGAGGGGTCGACTGGCATCAGGACGTCTGGATTGGGGATATCGGAACTCGGCGTGCTTTCACTGTTAAGGCCCTTCTTCGATGTACTGTTCTTCATAGTGTGGCTGGAAACACTAAGGAAAGGAAAATATTCGGGGACAGGCTATGATAGGAAAACAAAAAAGATAGCTCGGTCAGGAAGTGGGAAGCGCGTTTTATTATCTAGAGATAGCGAGCCCTTCGTTGTGAGTAGTAGGCATATCAGCGCTAGTGACTACCTGCGAATAAGGTGCCCAAACAGCACGAGCAGTCCCGCGACAACAGCTGTGGCGGCATCAACAGCAACACTTCTTAAGGGAGGGGGAAGGTAAGGGTTACGTAGTATGGTACAGAAGCCTTTCCCTCTTCTTACTTTCTGCCCTTGGTCTCACGTACTTTCATCCTTAAGTTGGCAGACGGGGCCGAAATGGGGGATCGAGTTCAGTTGGCGCCAACAGCAAGGAATGGGAATATTGCTAGAAAGCGAGCGCGACGAAGCAAGACCCCCGGGAGAATACTACTAAACTACTATTTTCACTCTGGTTTCTCTTTCTTGCTACTGTCTATCTGAAAGTGGCATTAGGAGGTGGTGCTGCCACTGCTTTAAGCGAAGCCATTTTCCTCTGCAGAGCATAAGAACGCCTGTTACTGGAAACTCATAACATGGTGTTGCTGTTCCAGTTACAGCCACTTCTGCCACCGTTGCTCTCTCTGATCAACAGTGGCCGCCGTGATGGATACGATGGCGGCGGGGTTTTCATAGGCTGTTCCCCCAAAAAAGCCCTTTCGCCGGGCAGCCAGGCACTTTGCCGTACGTCTTCATACGTCTATACACACCATTGCCCCATACACAGGTATTCTATCCTCTTCAACGAATCGACGTAGCGCTACTGCGCGTTTTAGGTCCACCGCTGTAGATTATGCCATAGGCACTGATCTCGTGTGGTGCAACGCATAGAAGGAAATTCCAGGAACTCTGTGCCCTTCGAAAAAACGTGTGCCTTGCTTTTGTGCCAGTACTCCCGCTTGCCAGCACATTCTGTTAAGCACCTTTGGCACACGTCGATTTTATAACGACGATACGGAGAGTTATTTTCAGTGAAAGTATGTATGGGAAGATAAGAAGGCAAAGTACTTTCAACAAAAGGTAGGCTCATAGAAAGGTTAGCGCCAGCCAGTACGTTCTACTTACTTAAAGTTTCGGCTATGGCGAGCGCGGACTTTGGGTGTTCGCTTTACGACAGGCCAACGGGTAGAACGTCGACTCGTTTGAAGTTTGTTCTTATAGGTGCAGTAATAGAAGTCATTTTGACATGCGCGAACTATCTGGCTCTTAGAAAACCGGCAGTGGACTTACAATTAGTCGTTCGTTGTTCTCTCTCAGGTCGTTGGCTTTTGCCCGTTGGCTATTTTCTCTCCTGCGTCTTTCTTGTGATTGTCCCTTGAACCTTTTCCTGCTACTATTTTTTCTTATGAACTATATAACAGTTTAGAGGAACGCACGACTGAAGGTCTGCAGCGGCCAGCCATCCATCCCTTGAACACAACGAATTGACGTGACACCGTTGCCCGGTTTAGGACCATCCTATTCGTACATTACATACGTAAGGCTATCTCTTCCTCTTTTTGAAGTGTTCCTTTCAGTCTAGCTTTACCTCGCTGCCTCTAGCCCCAGCCCTTCGGAAATCTCGTCTAAAGTCGTCCGTGTCTGAGGAGCGGATTCTCTTCAACACTATGCGAGCCGCTAAGTTACCTAATCGGCA